ATTTGAAGGAAATTGAAGTGTAGATTGCTTAATTGAGCTCCTAGTCTTCCAATTCAAGCCCTAAGGTAGAGTAATTACCCTCTTGTTTGTGAATTGAGCTTGTTCTTACATGATTCATGTCAAATTTAGTGAATTGAGCCATGGATTAGTTCTAGCATGTTGAAATAAATTATAGCTTCATTCATGCATGCATGTTAGTATTGTTGGATTTTGAGTTGAGTTCATGGCAAATTGTCACATGCATGTCCATGTTTTGAGTGTAGGCCATGTTTTCATCATGTTTGTGAATCAATTGGCTCATTAGAGCATGCTTTGAAGCTTGAAAGTTATTTAAAGATCATGCATGTCATGTTTGAGGATTATTCTTGAAAAATGGTTTGAAATTGGATTTGAATTAAACACCCTTGGGCTTTGATTTCTCAAAATTGAGCTTTGAACCATGTTATTCTATGCGTTTACAAATGTTTTCTGGAAATTCAGCCCAAGAGGTCGAGTTTTGAGTTGTTAAAACTTGGTTTGTGCTTGGAGGTGCAATCTGGGTTTTTCAGATTCTGCACTTCCGCTCGAGCGGGGGCTAGTGACGCTCGAGCGGGGAATCCGAGCATTCAGTATCTCTGCACTGTTTTACAGTCCGCTCGAGCGGAGTCATGTGTCTCAAGCTCGAGCGGGCGTCGAGCGTCCGTCGAGCGGAGATTTCACCCATCCAGTACTTTTACAGTACGCTCGAGCGGGATATTTGACGCTCGAGCGTGTACCTTTGTTGCATGACCGCTCGAGCGGGGAAACCTGAGCTCGAGCGGGACTCTGTTTTTCTGAAAACTCCTGAAACTGTTTTCTGATCACATCTTTGCATCCTCATCTCATCCTAGGCATTCTTAGGCCTAGTTTAAGACATCTTATTGAGGATATAGATGTAGAACACACCGAGGCAAATTAGGGATTAAGTTATTATCTTTCCCAGCTGTGTAGCTTAGTGTGTTCAATCTGTTACCTGTGTAGGGTTGGCGACTGGGGAAACACGCTCTAGCATACTGTAGCCCAAACTCTGTGAGTAACGATTGTGTAAAGATATGTTCAAAAATGATTATTTTCTGAACAACTGAACTGTACTGTTTTTGAATTGAATACTGTTAATTGAATGAATGTATGTCCTATATTCTAAATTGTATTGTGACTTCCTTAGCACCTACTGTTTACTGTTTACTGTTACTGTTACAGAGATCTCTGTCGGTTCCCTTGTTGGAACCACTACTATTACTGACTGATGGCCATCATTTACTGCTCAGTCTTTTAAGACCTACTGTTTACTGTACTGTTATGCTAATGGATGTACCACATATGATTGTACTGACTAAACGACTGAAATACTGATTTAATGAACTGTTTCCATTACTGTAAGGACATTCATTCTTAACCTCTTTACGCATTATGTTATTCACTGGGCTTTAGCTCACTGCTCATATATATATGTAGGTGTACAAGCACCAGACCGCGGCTAGGAGCGTCAGGGTCACTCCAGTTTTGTCCAGCCAACTACCGTGCCTGACTGCGAGGTTCCAAGCCTATCATGCTAAGGCTTAGGGGTGTTTTAGGACCCCCCCTTCTGTACTGTCTTGCTGTTTTGTAATAACCGAGTGGATTGTATAGACTGAATGTTTATGGTACTGTTATATAGGGATTAAGTCCCTATTCTGAATGATTGTATATATTGTGCATACTGTTCTGTACTGTTTGTGTATATACGTATGAAAAGTCTTTTTGCATACAGACTGTCACAGCTCATTGGACATTGTTTCTTTACTGTTTTGGCTTCCGCCAGGCCCTGTACTCTGTTTTACTGTGCTACTGTTAAGCAGGCCTTTGGTAATCTCGGATTACTGGCCGGTTACGGTGCTAAACCCATAGGGCCGGGTTTGGGTCGTGACATTTAGCCAAAAGCTCTTCCACTTGCCGTTGCAACTTCTCTTTCTCCTTTGGAGACATGCGATATGCTGGTTTGTTTAGAAGGGCTGACCCGGGTACCAAATCAATACGATGTTGAATGTCACGCATAGGAGGCAAATTGGGAGGAAGCTCTTGGGGAAATACATCAGAATACTCTTCCAAAAGAGTAGCCACCTCAACTTTTCCTTTAGAAGCACTTGTGTGTACAACCGAAACTAACACCCACAATCCCAAAATCCTGACTCTCTTCCACAAACTCCTTGGAAGCAAGCAATGTAGTAGCACTAGGAGATGGCTTGGAAACATCATTGGAAGTAACCTTTTCCTTCATTGGAAGCAAGGTAAACTGGATATTATCCTTGACAACGGTGTAGGTGTTCCGTTTGCCATCATGCAAAGATTGCCGATCATATTGCCAAGGTTGCCCAAGTAGAATGTGACAAGCATCCATAGGCACTATATCACACCATGCTTCATCAAAGTATTTTTTCCAGATAGAAAATGAAACCAAGCACCATTTGGTAACCTTGATCTCATTGCCTTTCTTGAACCAAGATAGAGAATAAGGATGTGGATGTTCCTCCACCGGAAGATTGAGTTTGTCCACCATTTCTTGAGAAACTACGTTCTCACAACTTCCACTATCAATGATCATGTTACAAATACGGCCACCAATGTTGCAAGTGGAATAAAAGATATTGGTACGCAACCAATCTTCTTGGCTCTCTAGTTTTGGTGAAAGAAGAGTCTTTTTCAACATAAGAGCAAGACCCTCTTCTTCATCACTATCTCCACCAATTACCATATTACTCGAAGGATTAATGATTGGAGCATCTTCAAGTCACCATGCTCCTCAACTTCTTCAATGAGAAGTGCCTTGTTCCAGTTATTACCCATGTTCTTACGACAATCAGAAGATCTATGCCTCGGTTCACCACACCTAAAGCATTTGAATGTTCCATCTTGTGGTGGATTTTGGTTTCTGGAAACACCATTAGAACGAGGAGCTTGAGAGGAGGAAGCACCCTTATCCACAAACTTAGAAGGAGGATTAGCTTTGGCAAAGATAGGAGTGGAAGGACTTGGTCTAAAACCACCTCGGAACCCTCCTTGGGAGTATTGTCCCATTTGGGAAGCATGGCGGCTTTGTTGCTTCTCCACGGCGAAGGCCCGATTATAAGCTTCGGAAACACTATATAATGTGTGCAAGGCAAGAACATCTTGGATGAAAGATTTCAAGCAGCTCACATAGCGGGCCACCCGTTGCTCCTCACTTTCACTTAAGTCAACCCGTGCAATGAGTTGATAAAAGGCTTCCGTGTATTCATTCACATTACCATATTGCTTGAGAATATGAAGGCGTTGATAAACACTTTGGAGGTAGTTGAATGGTAGAAAATGACCCTTTAATTTCTTTTTCATTTTCTTCCAATCATGGATTTTCTTCTTACCACATCGGTGATAGTTGAGTTGAAATTGTTCCCACCAAGTGAAAGCTCTCTCCTTCAATTGAATAGCCACAAGCTTAACTTTGTTTTCATTGGAGACCTCTCCATAGTTAAAGATCTGCTCAATGGTGTTAAGCCAATCAATGAAATCATCGGGATTGAGGCTTCTATGAAATTCGTGAAATTCAATTTTGATATTGTTCTCCCATTTGTGTTACATTTTACCCACATCCATTAGATGCCGTCGTGGGGCCCAAAAGATATTATCAAAAGAATGATAAGTACCACCTTCGGTATCATCGGAACCATCACTACTCTCGATAGGAGGTAGGAGACGTTGCATCGTCTCGGTTAACGCAGCAATTTGTCGTCTCATTTTGGCCATCTTATCTCTTGGATTTGGAATCCCATTACCCCCATCACGATCACCCAAATATGAGATATAAGCCCTACCACGACCACCCCTATGACCTCGACCTCGTTGAGCCACTGAGCAATTTCCAAGAATATGCAGAGACACAGTAATCTCACCCAGTTGAATATTGATAAAACAGTGCATCAATATACAATCTTAGCACAGTGAACAGATAATGTCACAACAGAGGCAAGACCCAAAATGTTGAAGACAAGAATTGAACTCAGATTGATGCACACAGATTTAAAGAATTTGAGACTTGATATAACATAGGAAATTCAACACAGATGGATTAAAGACTTCAAGAATCACTTACCCACATGTTGATTTCAGTCAATCGAGTCTAGAATAACTTCAAAGAACAACCCAGGTATGATTTCATCACAAGAGAACAAAATCCAGATTCGAAGTTGGTATGACGCGAGTTGTAGATGAATTCAAGGGTCAGAAGTTGTGATCTCAATTGAGCTTCCAGAAATCACGAAGGATAACTCGCGAAATCAATTCAATCCCAAGTTGCGGTTCAACTCGCAAATTCTAATCAAGAATACTTTCGCGATTGCGAGATGAGAACACCTTCACGATTTGTGATAAGTTTGCTAACCACGAGCTTCAATTCTATGTCTTGAGTTCGACAGGATTTCCATTACTGCTTTATGATGGTTTCTCACACAACTATGATCATGATTGTGATTCGTAATTAGGGTTTCAAATTTTAGGTATGTATCTCTCTCACAATTCATGCATTTAGAACATGAATTAGGAACAATAAACTTGAAGCTTTGATACCAAAATATGATGGGTCAATCAAGAACTAGGGAGAGAGGAACTTAGAAAGAGATTAGAGAGAGAAATTCTCAATTCGATTCAAATTCAATATATCCAAGTTAGTTACAAGTGATGTGGTACTCCTCTATTTATAGGATACACTATCTAACACATGCTATGCATAGGACACTGCATCACTTTCTTAACAGAAGCTCGGTTAACAGGCTGCTGGATGTAATAAGCAATACCAAAAATGAAGGTACTCCTCTATTTATAGGATACACTATCTAACACATGCTATGCATAGGACACTGCATCACTTTCTTAACAGAAGCTCGGTTAACAGGCTGCTGGATGTAATAAGCAATACCAAAAATGAATGGTGTATCATTTTTGAATATTTAGACCTTGATTTAGAGAAATACATGGTGACTTATTCGGAGGATTCTATGGATAAACACAGAATAAAGGTGGTTGATAAATCTTTTCCATATTGTATTTTATATATTTATTGCTTGTTCAAGATTTAATTTTTATTTATTTTTTATTTTTTGCAGTATATTATGCATCAAATTCTTTCTTGTGTTATGTACTGTCATAAGCACAGAATTATGCACCAAGACTTGAAGCCTGACAATTTGCTGATAGATCTCAATGCCTCTGTAGTGAAGATTGCAGACTTTGGAATGGCAAGGGCATTTCATACTCCTCTTAGGGCATATAGTCCTGAGGTATTTCATTTTGCTTGAAGAGAAGTATACCAAATTTAGCCCTTATTGGATGGGGTTTGGAGGGAGTAGATTGGATACAGACTTAACATTTGACATAAGTCACAAAAAGTGTCTGTCGTTATCACTTAAATTGTCTGCCAATTGTCAGAATACTTTCACCGTGGATGATGTTCACATTTGAATTTTCTTTTTCTTTTTGTTTGCTAGTCTTTACACATTGGTTAATACAACACTTAAAACTGTTAATCGAGGAATTTTAATCTTCAAAAAACATGCCTTAGTTGAATGATGAAAAATGTGTTTCACAGTTTCAGTAATCCTGTTTCTTTTATTTTCTTGTTTTTGGTTGGAAAATGAAGTTGAAACTTTGTTTGCTTTGTATTTCGATCTTTAAATTTCAATTGCTGTTTAGGAATGTCATACAATTGGTAATTTTCTTCGTCAGGTAGTAACTATATGGTACAGAGCACCCAAAATCCTCCTTGGCTCCTCGGTATACTCCACCGCTATCGATGTGTGGTTTGCTGGCTGTATATTTGCCAAGATGCTTATGCATCAGAATCTATTTGCTGGTGCCTCCAAGAATGAAGATCTCCGTAAAATTTTTAGGTGTTAACAAAGCTTACAAATGCATTTATTTCGCATGCATTTCGTTTTTCTTTTTCTGCTACAATCATATATATGTTCAGTTCCCTTCATTGAAGCATTATGGGGACACCAAATTGAAGAGAATTGTACAAAATTGGCTTACCCTAATGTGGGTAAGACCATGTCTATATATAATGAATATATGATACACAAAAAAAGGAATTAAATATTTACACAATCAAATCCTAAAATAAAATCCCTAAATAACCGTAATTTATAGAAATCATGGGATCCCCTAAATATATTCTATTCTATATTCCAACACAAACGAGAGAAGATGGCTGGGAGAGTCTTCTCGAGTACTATCCTGTGGTAATATTTATCATTTTCGCTTCAATTTTTTTATTTCACAAGTCAAGTTGGTAAATTTGTAATCCCTTTCCTTTTCTTCTATGCAGAATCTAGAAGAATTTTTCCTGATTTAGAACCAGCCTTAGTTGATCTTCTTTCTATAAGTTGTTATTGCTTCAAATATGGTTTTTTTTTTTAGAATAATGATTTGAAAAAACATTTTCCATACATATGTGACAACTTTGTTTTGGATAACAATGAATCATTAGGTTACTCGGTCCATGTCCATCTTTCACCCTTTAGTTGAACTGTCATCTCTAATTTATCATTTTCTTTCAATTGTCTTTTTCCTTTTTTTTTTTCTCTTTCCTTTTATTGTTGTTTTGCTTGTGCTTCATTTATCATTAAAAACCCTAAGTGATTCGTGATTCAGATTAAGATTAATTGCAACAATACCCAAACAATTAAAACAAACAATCTAAATCATCTAGCATATATGAAAGTGATTTAGATTGTTGCTTCAAAATTAATAAATCAACATAATCGATTTTAGCATGGAAAAATCATAATTGAAGCACCTCCAATTTTGTTTAAAAAACCATGAGCGAAACACCACTAATCAATCCACTATGAAAGAAAGAAAGAATACAAATTTACCAAAACAAATTATCCAACCTCTGTTAATTCGTCTTCGACAATCTGTATCTCATTTACCGTAACCTTCATCTCGGAATTGATCAGATTGATGTTGAATCCACAACATCCATGTTGAATCAACGACTGTGCACGGCTTTGAACTCATTCGAATACTCCACGCTTGAATCTCCGAATTCCACCAAAAAAGAACAATATTGAGGTAGAACAGTTAAACAACTTTTTGATGTATGCTTGTTAAACCATGAGTTTAATACTCAATCAAACATCAAAGAAAACTAGAAAAATAGCCTCAGAAGAAAACCCTAGAACCCTCAAAGAAGATCTAGAAGCAGTGCCCTAGATTCGGAGTAAACTGCAGCTTCATAGCAGTGGGAATCGCAATCTTCCCACTGTTGGACGAGTGAAATTGTCGCTCGAGCGCAAGAGTGAACGCTCGAGCAAGGAAGGAAAAGCAAAACTCACAAAAGGCACCCTTCTAAGTAGGTAAAAACACCTCATACTGGCAAGTGGGACCTGAAACCAAAAAGAGGTGAGCACAAGCAAAATGTGACACTAAGATGAAATGAACCACATACCATGAAACCTGCAAACTCACAATTTTGACAATATGAAGCACAGTATCATGAGCAAATCAGGTAAACATCAATCAATGAGCATAAGCTACATGGGAATGCACAACTCAAAGACAAACATGAGAGCTCACATAATGAATATGTGTGTGTGCAATCCTTGAGAGGCCATAGAGCTAGAGTTAATTCTCGTAGTGATCGGATGGCTGGACCTCCGGCAAGAGTAACTGAACATCACTGAGAAAAGTCAAACCACTAGCAATCAAGGGCTATTTTTTGAGTAAAAGGGGAGGCTCTTCCTCAATCAATGAGTCCTTTTTTTTTCATTTGTTTTTTTGACTTTTCTTTCTTGTGGGCACTCATTGGTGGCTTGCACGCTCAAGAGTATGGAGACCAAACCAGAGAAGCATGAAAACAATAAGGATGGCCTGGTTAGTGCCTCTGAGGTAGCATTTTCCTAATGCTCAGACTTCAATGAACTGAGAGAGAAACCGTGAAAGTAAAAAATGATGGTAAATGGTTAAGAGACTTAACATTACCCATGATATGCCAGTATAGGTCAATTCCTCTGAAAATGTATAAGAGACACTGTTAGAGGTCCATAGAGAACTTTGATCACTTGTGCGGAAACCCCTACAACAGTTTATCTCAAGGATGTGTACAGAATGAAATCATGAAGTCAAAGAACATGAGCATTTAGAATGAGCTATGAATAAAGAATAATGAAATCTTGCAAGCAGCATAAGATGTGTTCATATGAGTGTAAATGCAGAGATGACAAGAATCAATGACAATGAGATCATAGCATCCAAGTACACTTAAAAGCAAATCTCTCTCACCTACTCAAGTAATAGGACACACCCTAGTGGCTGAGCACTACACCCAAGGTCTTTCTAAGGAACTCAAATCTCAGAAGATCAAGGGGTTTTGTAAAAATATTAGCCTTTTGATGCTCAACGGGTACATGTTCAAGAATAACAAGGTCGTCTTTAACTAACTCTCGAATGAAATGATGACGAATGTCAATATGTTTGGTGCGAGAGTGTTGGCTAGGATTTTTAGAGATGTTTATGGCACTTGTATTATCACAGAAAAGGGTGAGAGTGTTCTAGTCTATGCCATAATTATTGTTAAGCATGTGTGTATTAAGGGTAGTCTAGTCATTTGTAGCAATTAAGGTTAGCATAGTTGTCTTATATATATATATTTCTTGTAATTCTTTTTCATTCAATTGAATAATATGGTACTTAGTTCCTAACTAAGTTTTCATTGTATCAAAGCAGGGTTTTTATAGCTAACCTCTCATTGGTGTTGGTATGAATTGAAGGTAGGATTATGGTTGCTTTTCTTCGTTTGCCGCTATACACCCTTGCATCGAAGTCGAGTGGGCTTGTCTGTGCCTCACGAAGTCGCGATTCACAGTCGCGATTCATAGTCGAAGTTGCTTCTTCCTCACGACTCTCCCTTTCATCTCACAGTTGCATTTGGCTATTCTAATCGCTACTGATATTGGCTTGTTTGGTTCAAAGGTGTGATACTTGGGTAATCTACTTCAGTTTCTCTTCTTCTTTGTGTTGCTGTTTCCTTGTGACTTCTTTGTGGTCTTGTGGTCTTCTCTGTGAAGTTCTTTATATTTTGATATCATGTCTAGTGGAATGTTAGATTCATTTCAAGCCATTAGCGAGAAGTTAGTGGGAGATAATTATGTTTATTGGGCCAATGTCATGAAGAATTTTCTTCTGGGTAAAAATGTTTGGGATGTTGTTACCAGTGATTCTCCTATGCCCATTGATGCCAATGTTGAAAAGTTTCAAGATTTGTTCTTTGTTTGGTAAGTTACTAATGCCAAGATTATTACTTGGATTAATCATTCTATAGATCAATCTATTGGGATTCATTTTGCCAAGTTCACTACTGTGAAAAAAATTTAGGATCATCTATCTCGGTTGTATGTTCAGTCTGTGGGATCAATTAGCTTTTACTAAGCCTAAGTCATTGAGCACTCATGTGGCATATTGTACTTATCGGAAGGAGCAACGGTTGGTTCTATTCTTAATGGCCCTTAGGGTTGATTTTGAGGGCTTTGCGGCATTATTCTGCATCAGAGTCCTCTCCCTTCTGTTGATTCTGTGGTTAATGAGTTATTGGCTGAAGAACTTCGCTTCAAAACAGCTCCTGGCATTGGATTGCTTCTTTTGCCATCCTTTGCCAACTCAGACAGTTCTAGCCGTTCCTATTGGTCATTCTTCTACTACTCCCAGCAAATCCTATTCTCGTGCTCCTATGGATGAATGCAACTTTTGTCATCAAAAAGGCCACTGGAAAGCTCAGTGTCCTTGGTTTTTGGGGGCAATCACTGGCTTGGAGAAAGAATTTTGATAGGCATTCTGGCCAATCATCCTCTTGGAAAAATGGACATACAGCTGCCACGACTTGTTCAGTGGATGATTCCTCTCCATTTTTGACTGTTATTGCTGAACAACTGCAAAAACTCCTCTCTACTCATACACCAAATGCCTTAGCTGTCTCCTCATCTCTTGGTTTGTCTTCTTCCCCCTCATCTCCTCCAGGTATATCTCATTCCATATGGGTTTTTGATTTTGGTGCTATACATCATATGACTCATGATTCCTCCCTCTTATTGTCTATCTTTTCTCCTCCTTCTACAACTACTGTTATGGCCGCTAATGGTACTCCCATGTCTTTGGCTGGGGTTGGGTCCATTTTGACTGATACTCTCTCTTTTTCGATTGTTTATTGTATTCCTCAGTTAAATTTGAATCTTATTTCTATTAGTCAACTTTGTGCCATTGGTTACTGTGTTTATTTCTTTAA